GGGGGGGGGGGGGGGGGGGGGGGGGGGGGGGGGAAAGGGGTAAAAGGAGAGACAGGAATGGAATTTGGGAATGATTTTATATTACAGAAAAAAGGAAAAAGAAAGAAAAAAATGGTCAATAATTTGTTCGCCAAGAAATCCCTTTGTTCTTCCCGCAAAGCAAAGCGGAGTATGAAAAGAGCTAATATCCATAGCTTCCTATTTTCTTCCTTTATACGCGCGCATACCACCGCCTCCACCAATTACATATAGAATATGCCTATTTTTACTATTTCTTTTTTCTTTTTCTTAATTACAAAATTGTGTTTATTTACTCCCTCCCTCTCCCCCTCCCCCTCTCTCTCTTCATCCACCGGCGTCAGGAGCGGCGGCGAGCCCACACATTGGAATGGCGCCAATCAGGCTTCAAGAACACCGTTTCTTCCTATCTTCTCTGATGGGCTTTCTTTTTCTCTTCTTTTGACTCCATCTTGGGTTAGATCTTAGTGACAACAACACCCTTAAATGTGGGCCTTAGTTGGCTCCATTTTACAATACCCAATCTATCCCACATCACACTTGGGCCTCTTTAGTGAGCTTTTGTCTTTCTCTTCCACGTTTTCCCTCCGCTCCAAATTTTTAAAATGTGTCTATTCGTTATTCAAATAACACAATATCTATTAGTGGTGGGCTTGAGTTGTTACAACCGGTATCAAAGTTAGATAAGAGACTGAGGTCTGAACGGATAGACTTCGTGCGCCAACCCACATACAACCTTGTCCTTCAGCCATAATGTTTTTGAGTCAAGGCTGTTGTATAATTAGATAGTTGAAGATAAGTATAGAGCATGAGTAAATATTATCACCAATAAATACATTTTTTATTATATTAAATTAAAGTAATTTACGAGAGGAATTGAGGATGCCGATCGGAGAGGGACAAAACAAGTGTAGGGGTAGGGAAGAAAGGACAAAACGTAGCGGCTAAGGGACTCAACACGTGCCCGCTCCTCCGCCCCGCCACTACTTTGGCATTTTCTTTGTTTTATTACTTTTTTATAAATAAATAATAATAATAATAATTTACTACTCCCATCTCCCCCACGCGCGCCAACTCTTGGTTTTTCTTCACGTGCTTGCGCTATTTTTGACCCAGTCATACCTTCTATTAATTAAAAATTTTGTGGTAAACTATACCATTTATTTTTGTATTTAATTTTTCAATTATTTTCGCCCATAGATTCACTCAATTCTATTTCATCCGTTTAGTTTCTGTTAATAAAAAAAATTATATTTTCACAACCTACGTTTTCTTTTTTTTTCATTTAATTTGTCGCCTAACCTAAATTAAATTATAAAACTAATGTAAAACAACCCTCAAGTATGGATGATTTTTTTTAGCTACGTCCTTTCTTTTCCTTAGTCTCATTCAAAATGAAATATGACTAAGTCAACCAAGTGACACTAGTGATCGAGAGGTTTCGGGAAAGACCACTTGGGGAGACTTGTATTTTGTTCTCGAGAATTTCGTTCTTAAGCTTGGTCCCTTCATACACCTTGTTTAGTCCGTTGTAAATCGGTTAACATGATTGTAGCAATACATCGAAGTGTGGTAGAGAAACAATCGCTAGTAATCGCCGGTCAGCCATGCGGCGATGAATTCGTTCCCGGGCCTTGTACACACCGTCCGTCACACTATGGGAGTTGGCCATGCCCGAAGTCGTTACCTTCAACAAATCAATAGATTATGAATAAGTATGTTCATTTATAAATAAAAAAAAATTAATTTCTAACTTTATATCATCAAATCACAAGAATATAATAACACCATAAATATTAATTTCTAATTTATCTCTCAAATCTATAATTATAGAATACTAATAAATATTTCCTTATTTAATTTTTTATTTTTAGCAAAAACATCTTTTTTATTATTATTAATTAATTTGAGAATATAAATTACAGTGAAGAGATAAAAAAAAAAATTGATAGTGTGACTCAATCACCATGAATAATATATACTTATAAACTATAAAGAAATGTGGTAATTATTAATTAATTTATAAACGTGTTTTATGGAATAATTTTGGTAGGAACATTATTTTAATTACAATTTAGGATGATATTTGAATAAAATTGAGATTTATGTACATTTTTGTTTTTCTTCTTGTAGCTGCACGGAGGCGATTGACGACACGCGCTTGACTTAGAAAACGGGGAGCAGTTTCGTTAGTCCTAAAAGATCAATTAAATCTAAGATCCCATTTTCTTCCTTCTTCTTCTTCTTCGTCAATCTTCCCTTAATAAATCCAACCCAATAATTCCTTCTGGATTTTCAGAACCAATTCTCATCTCCAAAACCCTAACAATGGCTGACCCAGTTGCGGAAGTTTGGCCTTCTGATCAAAACCCTAATTCCACTACTTACGCTTCCGAATTTGATTCCCTCCAAATTCCGCCTCTCGACTCTCTTTTTTTCTCCGATGCCAATTCTGCCGCCCCTGATGACCCCTTTGTTTATTCTACGCCTTCCAATTTGGGATTCGAGGAAAATGACGATTTTGAGCTCACTTTTGATGATCTTGACGACCTTTACCTCCCATCTGAGGCTGACGATTTCCTCATCTTGGAGAATTTGGATCAAACTACCAATTCGCAGGATTCGGCTACTGATGTTCCGCCCCAGCCTGCCCGGGATTCTGCTGCTGACGGCGCTGGTGTTCGCGTTTGCAGTTCTGAAGCGTCCCCGGGATCGGGGAGCTCTGCGGTTTCTTGTGAGCAGTCTCCCAATGACTGTAAGTTTATTAACTCTCAGTCTTCGAAAATACCAACTGCGGATAGCGGTTGCTTTTCGACTGATTCCGGGGGTTGGGACTCAAAGGATCCGAGGATTGTGAATTGCCCCTCTCCGGAGCATGGTGGTGGTAGTGAACAGGAGTTCTCAGGCGAGCCAGCGTCGTCTCAAGGCTCGGGTTCTGGAAATTTCGGTTCCGGCGTCTCTGAAGGGATAACTTGCCCATCTTCCAATGGGGAGTATTACGATGTCATTGTCGATCAGAAGATTAAATCAGAGGAAATAGGGAAAATTTGCATGCCGAAGAGGAAGAAAGACCTGGATGAAGGAAACCCGGATTTGAGATCTGCCAAGTATCGAAGGTCTTCTGAACCTGTAGAAAGTTCCAATCCCCAATTGAGTTCCTGTGCTCTAAATGAGGATGAAGAGAAGAGGAAGGTGAGGTTGATGAGGAATAGAGAGAGTGCGCAGCTTTCCAGGCAGAGGAAAAAGCATTATGTGGAGGAGTTGGAGGATAAATTGAGAGCTATGCATTCAACCATTACTGAATTGAATAGTAAGATATCATATGTGATGGCTGAGAATGCAGGGCTGAGACAGCAGCTGAGTGGCAGTGGTATGTGTCAGCCTCCTCCTCCTGGTATGTATCCTCATCCCTCAATGGCCCCAATGTCTTATCCGTGGATGCCATGTCCTCCGTATGTTGTTAAACCGCAAGGGTCTCAGGTCCCTCTGGTTCCAATTCCAAGATTAAAGCCCCAACAGCCTGCCCCTGCAGCAAAGGGGAAAAGGAATGTGAGTAAGAAGGCTGAGGGAAGAACTAAGAAGGTTGCGAGTGTTAGTTTCCTGGGTCTGTTGTTCTTTATTATGCTTTTTGGTGGTCTAGTTCCTATAGTGAATCTCAGATTTAGAAATGTTGGAGGAGTTCCTGGCACGTTAGCATTTGTTGGTGATAGGTTATACAATCAAAACCGTGGAAGGGTTTTGAGAGTCGATAAGTATTCGAATTTATCTAATGGTTTGAATGTAGGAACTCCTTGCGGGAAATCTGATACTTTGAACCTCTTACAATGTGAGGAAATTCATAGGAAAGGGCGAGACTTGAAATTCGATCAACAACGAAAAGGATCGCAGCATATGCATGATTCAGATGAGTCTAGTAAGCTTGGAAATGCTAGTGAACCTCTTGTTGCTTCTTTATACGTCCCAAGGAATGACAAGTTAGTGAAGATTGATGGAAACTTAATAATCCATTCTTTCCTGGCAAGCGAGAAAGCTATGGCCTCCAGCAGGGCTTCTGATAAGGACAAGGGTAGGGAGACTGGACTTGCGATTCCTAGAGATCTTAGTCCAGCCATCACCATCCCCAACATCAGGGAAAGTGGTGGTAAGCATCCTCATGCGTATAGAAATCCTGCCGAACAGCCAAAGGCACTTACTTCAGGTTCAGCCAACAATTTAAAGGACCATATCAAGGCGACCGCAGCTGATGGTAAACTCCAACAGTGGTTCCGAGAAGGTCTTGCAGGTAATACTCCGCATATTAACTTTTATTTATATACAATTTTTGTACTTGGGAATGATGATATTTGGAAGTTTTATTTGTTGCATGAGACTTGAATTATAACCTCTTCAATTGAGATTTAGAATTCTAATGGTATCAGATCGCTGTTGAGACAAGATATTTGACTCTGGATTATATAGTTTGAAATGTAGATATGAAAATTGACTCACTGTTTCTCGTTTAGAAGTCTTCTATAATTCCTATCGAATACTTATGGGAAAACTTGGTCTATGATGCCTCCCAAGTCTACAAAAGAAGGGATGGGGGCATATTAATTGAAATTAATGAACTGATGGGTTTCCATGTAGTCATGATTGTTCTGCTTATTGGAGAGGTTGTCATGATTTTCGCTTTTTTTTAGCCTAGTTTCCTTTTTGACAGAATCCTTAGACTGTAAGTTTTTCATTTTCTGATTTATGTACAAAGTCGTTGGCGGTGAATTGATTTTAGGGAACATGCTTACTCGTACGAGGATTTGATCAATGCTTATGTGATGTCAAACGTTAACAAGGCTTGATCAATGGTTTAGGCCAATGATTGAGGTGTAGGTTCGACATCATTTTATAGATACTTACGGTCTTCCTTCTCCATCTGCAGGACCGATGTTGAGTTCTGGCTTGTGCACCGAAGTGTTCCAGTTCGACGTTTCCTCAACATCTCCAGGAGCAATAATTCCAGCATCGTCAATTGCCAATACTTCTGGAACGCATCGTAAGAATGCTACTCAACTGAATAAGGGAAGGAATAGGAGAATCCTGGGTGGTCTTCCAGTTCCCTTAGGTGGATCAAGTTTCAACATCACAGAAGAACCTGTTGGAAACCCACGCAAAGACAGCTTTCCAGGTAACAACAAAACAGCTTCGTCCATTGTAGTTTCTGTGCTCATTGATCCAAGGGAAGCTGGGGACAGTGAAGTTGACGGCGTGATAACGCCAAAGTCGATTTCGAGAATTTTTGTCGTTGTGTTGCTGGATAGTGTCAAGTATGTCACGTATTCATGCGTCCTCCCACGCTCGGGTCCTCACCTTGTGTCTACTTAAAACTTGGAAACCATTTGGGGGCCGTAGGAAGTTCTGCCAATTGATCTGTATACCACACATTTTTGTACATAAACAGTGCAATTTGGCGGGGTTAAAAGAGTAACAACTTTGCGATCATGACTTCGAATTTCCCTTGTAATGCTTAACTCTTAGGATTAGTTTAGTTAGAGTGAAGTACGTAGGTTTTGTTTCAATCCTCAGTCATCGATAGGCATGGGGGAGAGCGTATCGTAGGTTTTGTTTCAATCCTCAGTCATCGATAGGCATGGGGGAGAGCGTATCATTTTGTGGATCGGAAACAGAAGTGGTAGAAACTCGAATATTTGAATGAATACACTATTTAACTATCTACATACATTACACTTCTTTTTCCCCGCTTTTTAATACCCTTGTTCCTTGATTTCTAATCTTTGATTTGGAAAGATGAAAGGTTAAAGGAGCATTATGGTAGAGTATTTGAAAGAAGAAGAAGATGAAAGATGAATTACAAACAGGTTATGAAATATAAATATTATTGATAGATTATAGTAAAGAGATGAAAAGGCGAGTGGCCCCATCATGATGCTCCCTCCCCTCACAGCAGGGCAGGGCAGGGCAGAGCAGAGTCCCAAAAGGTACAGTTTTGAGAGACGAACACACGGTACAAAACGTTGAAGGTGGTCCAAATTGGACTGGTTGATTAATTAGGTTCGGCTTTGGGTGGGGTCATAATAGCCAAAAGGACCATCACAACCAGAAGCTCCTCAGTTCCTAGCAAGCAAGCAAGAGAAGAGAAGAGAAGAGAAGAGAAGAGAAGAGAAGAGAAGAGAAGAGAAAGAGAGAATAGCTTGCAAAATTTGAAACCAAAATAAATGAGGGGGTTCTATACAGTCATTATGATGTAAGAAGAGAGATATAACCATGTCAACACTCCCTGAGCAACCACCCATAAAAGCTATATAATTTTGCCTCCCAAATTCCATAAGAAGAAATTCTCTGTACTTCAAAATGCACTTCAACTATGAAATCGTTCTTTCTTTTTTTCTTTTTTTTTTCTTTTTTTTTTTTTCTTTTTTTTTCCATCTCCGATTCTCCTTTGAATCGGAATCGCCTTCTCTGGCACAACACAGTGACACCAAGTTTCTTGTTGTTTACCTTGAAGCAGGTAGAGTAGGTCAAGACACCGTTTGCCAGGGAGCTTTTAGTATATGATCTTCCACCTGATTCTGGGTGGAAAGTCACCAGGAAAGTATCCTGGAAGTATCAGTCTTGTTCCTCACTATCGTTTCATCCTAACGCCGCCCGTTTGTCCAATGCCGATTGTGGCCTCCAGATTTTAGGTGCACATTTCTGTGGCCCATTCCCTGCTTCGGAATATCGTGTAGTTCCATAACCTGTATCGTCCGCTGCTTTTTGGCTGTTCAATAAACACCACCATGAATCAGCACTTGTGTAGTTAGTTATATTCAACAACTTCAGAAATGTGTTTAAAAGTGCTCTCATTTTGGTCATATACGCCGCCTTAACCAGTTAAACTATGTTCGGGTGCCGCCTTAACCAGTTAAACTATGTTCGGGTGCAAATATTTAGCTAAAGTTGGTTTGATTGATACTTCAAATATTCAGCAAGAAAGCTTTTAGACTGCCTATGAAACTGGTATCAGAATGGATAAAAGCATAGATGGAAAACAAAACAAAGCAAATACCGTTTTCAGCTTGTTGGTAACTCTCTTGCAGTTTCCTCTTAGTGGCTTCTAGTTTCACTTGAACTGCAACCTCATCCGAACACTTGAACTTCTGGTAGAAACAAATAGAAAAAATCAGGTACAAGGACAAAGGACAAACCCCCAAATAACTTTACAATCTTCAGCTACTTACATCTTGTAGGCTCCTCTTTGGGATCGTAGGCTTCTCCACTTTACGCTGCAACTTCTCGTGATTGTCCTTCTGCACGGTGCTTGGCTTCTGCAGCCTCGAAAACCCAGAATTTGCATTTGACGGTGGCTTGTTTGGCTTCACAACTTGTTCTTTCATTTGACTCTTATTGTCCTTAGCAACCACATTAACCTCTCGAGTGGTTTGTTGTTTACACCTCATAGGGTTTTGACTGCCACTCGATGTTTTTCTTCCATTATCGCGCTTCTTGACGAACTCCCCACTGTTTCGAGGATCTGAAACATATATCCCCACTGGTAATCATGAATCTAAGAAATGGAGAGTCTAAGAAAGTGATTGAGAAAAGCATAGGATACTGCGTAATGAACTCACTTCCATCATCGTCCATGCCATCAAAGAACTTCGCCAAGGAAGGGAATGGAATGGCAAGTAAAATACAGTCGATTAGAACCCACCAATGCAACATTAAGTAGATAACTTTTCTTGAGAATACAAACTCAATTCAACTCGAAAATAGAGACATACTTGTGAGAGCTCCATTGATGTGGGCTGAGTGGTAAAAAATGCAGCTTCATCTAAAGGAGGAGAGGGAAGCCCATCTTCATAATCATCTTCTTCTTGTTCAGATACAGGCATACTTTTCGAATCCGGTGTGACTTCTGAACCTTTTTTGTCAGGAAAACAAAAACATTCCTCAGTAAATAAATCCGAAAGTTGGCATGAACCGATATAGATGCACGTGTAGCTAAAATGAACTCTACCATGAACAGCAGCTGTAGCTTTTACCCACATGTCCACCATTTCTTTCCACTCTCTGCAACCAATAAAGTAGATCTTTTACCCTCAAGCAAAGTAAACTAACAAGAAGCAGCCATTTATAATGATATCAAAGACGAGGTTTCCTTATATGCTATGCAAAACAGAGAACTCCCTGAGTGAGCAACAAGTTGTAAAGGCACAGATGAGCTACAAAAGCTCTCCACTCACTCAAAAAACAAAATAATGGACGCTGCATGGTCGAAGAAGACGATTCTTTGTTCATTAAAACTCAGTCAAAAGAGAGAACAAACACTGATTCTTATATGTTCAAAATGAAATGAGTAAGTTTTAAAGAACAAATCCAAAGGAAGATGACATATAGAGTGTCAACAACAAATTTAGTTGGGGCATTCATCATAGAACATGTATACTTGGGATTGAGGTTTGAAGGCAAGATTTAGTACGTGATAAGGAATCGAACAAGATGGCGAATGCGCTTCGATCCATGCTTTCGAAGACCATTAACAGCCTTGCCAATCTCAGTTGCCTGATAAAGAGAGAAAAATCCTCAATCAGAAACAAGAAGAACCAACAAAACTTAACTTGCCCCAAAGTTGCAAGAGCAAACAGAAGAATCAAACCATCACCTGCAGGGCATCAACTGATAGAGCCATCAATTCAAGTCTTCTAAGGGATTCAAACAACACTGAATCAGACTGCACAAGAAACACACAACATGAGAAACAAAGGAACATCCCAGAAAATGTAAAGACCCAAAACAATCATTCATTACCTCTTCTTCAAAATTATTGAGAATCTCTTTGATCCTCAAAACCTCCCCGACAATCTCAGATTCTTGTTCAATTTCATCAGTCAATGCTTCAGCTTCACCAAAGCTATAATTGCTAACCTGATTGAAATTCATCTCCCCTCCATCATCTCTACTGCTGTAAACCTTGCTCTCTTTGCTCCCACCGCCCTCAAACGCACGCCCATCTCCGGCAGAATCGCTCTTGAAACCCGTTTCGCCGTCCACATCGCCAGCCACCGCCAGCTCCACTCGGTCGCAACCCAAACAGCGAGTCAATCGGCATGAAAACAACTGCTCTGCAATTCGATCTCTCCTCAATCTGAACTCCTTGGGACAATCGGAAGCCGCCACCAAGATTGCGTAATCGATTAAGCTAAAAATATCCGAATTCGCATTCCGGAAGTAATCCCTCCAGTAGTCCAAGGACCCAGACTTGGCGGACATGATCGGAATCTGAAGAAACCAAACTCGATCGAACACGGACGGAATTCAAACAACCACTCAGAATCGAAGTGGGAATTCCATCACCGTGAGAGTTCCAAAGGACAAAAACCTAAATACGAAGAAAAACAAAAAAAGATTGGAGGTGGGAATTGACGAAATCCCCCAAAATGAACAACACCCAGAAAAGAAAACCCCTCCCCAACACTAATCCAGCACCACAAGAATCCGATTCCCAGAAAAATAAAATGGTTAGCAACAAAGTCGCAAACACTCAAACTTGCATCCGTTCGGAAGCGAAATGAAAGTGAGTAGTGGTGTGAAGATATTCGTTTTGTGAAAAGAAAGGATCGGATCAAAAACAGAAGAAGGGGATTGATAAAACCCAAGCCCTGCAATGAGGGGTTGCTCAAAATTGGAAGGTTGTAACAGAGAAACTTCTGAGTTTTTTTTTTTTGTTTGGTATTCGTATTTGTTTAATCCCGGAAAAGTTCCGGGATTTCCTGGTAGGAGAAATATCGAGAATATGGGAAATGGAAGAGAAGAGAAAATAGGAACAAAACCTTAATCTCTTCTTTCTTCTCTTCAATGGAATTGGGAATTGAAGGGTTCCTTTGATTTGGTTCTCTCTCTAGAAATTAGAAAGAAATTAGAAAGAAATTAAAAGAATAAACCTGGGTTTAGGCTCCCTCCAACATTCATAAAAATCTTTCCTTTTTTCTTTTTTCTTTTTTTTTTTTCTTTTTCAAAAATAAAAAACATATTTAAGTTTTGAATATTTTATTTTAATATCTGAAATCTGGAATAGTGATACAAAGAAGGGTTTTTATTATTGACTAATAATAATATAAATTACAATATTTTAAATTCTATCTAAAGTCTTCATTTTTACTTAAAAATTATTAAATACATAATTCAATAAAAAAGGACGAGTTGGGTAAAAATTTGACTCAGTAACACCGAGTATTTTGAAAACAGCGTGTTGAGTTTGTGCGAGTCAACAGTTTTTGTTAAGTTTCAACCCTTTTTAGTCCAATTAAAATTAAAATTAAAAAATTAAAAAATCGTGAAGGTTCGCTCAAACTCGGCGTCTCGACCGAATGCTAAACCCACACGGCTGTGAGGGATAGACTAGACAGTGATAACCTGACGGTTTCCGGTTCCACGTGGTCCCACGGCGTCCAGCCGTCACCTACTCCCTATGATTTATATATATTCACATATATATCCCAATACCATATTATATAATTGTATAATCTATGGTCCATTGAAAATGTTTTATGCATTTTTTTAATGTCGAGTATCGTTACTTCATATCTATATAGATATGAATATAATTGTAAACGTTTTATTTTTCCTACTTGTTTGTCTTTTAGTGAAGCGAGTCAAATTTAATAAATACTGATTGCGTAAAAGATGGAAGTCGAGCAATCTATAAAGAAGTGGCAGATGGTAGGTTGATTTACGGTGATTGGGCGTTTAAGATTTAGTTCCCGGTTTTGCTGGGTGACCGACATGATCTTTTTGTCTGGTATATACTTTTTGTAGTTGAGTTGAACCGTTTCGTGAGTAAACTGATTTTGAGTGATTAAATTTCTTAATTCAAGAGTCTAGCACTTAGCGAGTTATAATGACCAATCCTTGACCGTTGACTCGAAAAAAGTGAAAAGAGAACTTCTGGAGGTACTCGATTCAAATTAGATTTTCCATTTAATTGAATTTTGTTTTTTTTGAAAGAGAATTTATACGTTTTTACTTTTGGTTGCTATTCTCGGATCATTCGTCCATTCCTTTTCCTTTATTCGATGTGGTGAGATTGGTTGAAATCAGATTTCTCGAACGAATGAGGAGAAGACAACTGGCAGACGATCTCTATTTATTGCACATTGTTGTGTAGATTGGAGAAACGGAAGTGTGCTCTCGTGCACCAATTGTTAGAAAGATATTTGGCATAAAGATACCCTTCTTATTGGAGAAAAGTGTCGGACAAGCCAAGATTAACTCCTAAAAAGTTATTGGATCCGAGTATTCGGAACACTTTCCATCTGCCCGCTAATTAATTGCAAAGGGGTTCCTTTCAAAATGATCCTTTTGATCCTATCCTTTAAATTCAATTTGAAATTTTTGAATATGCCAAATGAAAAATTAGGGCTTAAGATGATATCTAACGTGTTTCGAGTGTTCGAATACAAAAATTAGGGTTCGTATATATGTAAAAAAAACTAGGCAAATAAGAATAATGGTTTCTTTAGTATTTTATTATTATTATTTTCTTTATTAGAAAAATATATTTTTTCATCTTTAAGCGATTAATTTGAATTCAACTCGAGAATATCAATCTAAAGTAATAAGCGTTTTATTTAATTAAAAATGTCTTATTATCGTCGAGATTCCATATAATCTCTTTGTACTCAATTAGATCACCTTATTCCGAGTCATCTTCTAAACTCACGTAATAATACAATTTTATAATTTAATTTGAGAGTAAAATTTTATCCCTTTATTTTTAAATTTATCCAACATTTATCAAAATCTTTTTTGAAATTATAACTAGTTTTTGGAAGGATTTTTTCATTTTTTGAATTTATCGTGATAAATAGCAATATTTCTCGTGAACGAAACTCGCATTGGGAGCATAATTTATCGGCGTCAAATAAAAGCAGAGATTGTTTTGATTCGGAGGCAATTTGGTCTCTAGCGTTGACTTTCGTTCATAGCCCTTTGATCGTCAACGTACTTTTTCACCATGACGTGGCCTCTTCTTTACCACACGATTTCCAAATCTGTTTAATTTTATCCTAAAAATACATTTTCCATTTCATATTTTAAAGAATAAAAATAAAATCGCTTTTATTCCTGTCCTAAAATAAAATTTCCATTTTTATATTTATTTTCATATAATATTTTCGCTATCATCCTTAGTAATTTTGCACGCTCGTCCATTCGGTATACATAATTGATAGAATTACTACATACAAAATTAATCATCTTACTGCATAAATGTAGTTCGATCTGGTGGTGTCTTTGTATGTAGTGAGTAGGACTCGTGAGCTCATAGCTCTCTCATTTGCACTCCAAACTCTGAAGTTTTAGATATCAGAATTGATGCTAGTACGTTCGATGCATTAAAACTCAAGGAGCTGAAAGCCTCATTACAGTGTTCTAGCAACCGTTAAATATCTTATGGGTCGGCCCAACCTAAATTAGAAGAAGATCTTTTGATCGAGTATATGCCGACGATTTCAATAACCGTTCAAAGAAAAAGAATAAATGTAGATAAAATCGAGCATGGTTTGGAAGATGCATAGTAGCATATAAAAAAAAATTTAAAGATAAGATTATATTTTCTGAGAAAATAAAATAAAATAACGGTAAGAGGGGTGGAGGGGTGGGACTGCGACACACGTGTGAATCACGTTTCAAAAAGCACGGAGACACGTGTCAGAAGCAGAGTTGAGGAGCAAAGCTACGTCCGCTAAGGTCGATGACGTGTACAATCTTATCTAACTTTTGCGGTTTATTAAAAGCTCCATATCTCACGCGTTGTAATTTGTACGTGACAACAGCGAATACTCGCAAATTCTTGACAGTCCAATGTATACGCGCCACGTGTCCCATCTATCCCCTTCTCTTCTCGTGATTCTATCATATCCTTACCAACCCTAAGCACTTCGTTATTGGTTGCCCCTTTGGGCTTTGCAAACCCAATTCTATTCACAATTTGTTTCTTTCTTTAAAAAAAAAATAATAATAAATTATTTAGCATTAAATTACCAATTTCATTGCCTTAAAAGGTAACCTTTCAAAATACCCACAACTTACCAACTCGAGCGAACGGTCAAATATCTGTCCTACATTTATTCGTGAGAGTTCACGTAGTTAAGAAACGATTCTCAGTAGACCAGTGAATGTTATGAATTATGAATAAAACAAGGAAAATAGGACATATATGCATGTTTTAAGAACAAACTAAAATTAGTTTACTATTTATCAAAATATTACCTTTTTAAGCTAAATTAATAAAAAAAAAATTAGAAAACAAATTTGCGTATTAATGGAATGATTTTATCATATGAATTTAAAACATATAAAAGAATTTGGTTGTAATTAGAGAGACGATTTAAAATGTATTAAATATTTTTTAATGTTGGATTTATTTGACATAAATAATTAACGATATTCTGATTCAAAAAATAATAAATCTACATAATTTTATAATTAAATTGAGAATTTTGACACCGAACGGCCTCTTAGTATGTTGGGCTGGTTGATGGACTTAATAAGGCTTCCAAACCCTCCCATCATGAGTTCGAGGCCTAGTAGGTAAAGAAGGAAAGAGAAGAAGATAAAGCCCTTTAAAAATTAATCTTTAAGGTATTCTAAAATACCTTCTTCTTTTTCTTTTTTTGAAAAAAAAAAAAAAATCAGGGACCCCAAAACGCAGCTTGGCCTAACCTTTACGATGTTAAATTTGGCACGATGTAGATTAACATAATTGATTAGATTAAGATAATAGGCTAATAATGAAGGGCGTTTTCCTTTAAACAAGAACAAAAGATTTTCTGACAGGAAGAATGGTAAATCTAATGTAATTGATGTAACAGATGGTATGACTCTACATGTTTAGCTTACTTATATTTAGCTTACTTAGGTACTCCAACACAATCATTGAAGTGAAAAGAAGATTATAGAAGCATTATGTGACAATCGAGAGCCGCTATCGAGTAGCTAGGAAGTACATGTAATTAAGACAACAAAGTTGAATCATGGTACACCTCTAACCACATGTCCAAAGTCGAGAACTTTGATTTGGATACGAATTCACCAACTAAAATTGATAGCTTTGCTTGGTCATGCATGATCTATAAATGCTCTTTCAAAAGGGTTCCAAAACCAACCATTTGGCTCAACTTCATCCCCAAAGATAGGAATATTCACCCTTCATCAAACTATCGCTTTCCCTTCCCATGTATTAACCAATTTTGATGAACAATATTTAAGGTTCGATCCACAAGTCCTTTCGTACCTAATTTTCTATTCTTTTAGTATGGATTAACGATAACATTTTCATTTTTGTAGTCCACATCCTCATATTCAACAAAAAAAAGTAAAATGGTGTTCGAGTTCGCCTGGGACCTAAGTGGACTAAAATTAAGAAACGACACTCTTCATAGAGCTGTGTATTGTAAGTGATCCAAACCTGCCTTAAAACTACCAAAAACAAAGTCATTTAAGCTAATCGAGAAGAGTTTGAAAATAAACTCACAAGTAGCCCTTTGTGCATCATACTTTTATAATAATATGGTATGAACCACCTTGAATCCATCTTCAATCTTGTTATAGTTCACTTGGATGAAATCCAGCCAAGATGAAACTTTAGTCCCAGATTTCAAAGGCTCATTCAAAAATCATATCTTACGAAAATTATGTTTGAAATGCATGACTCATTATTGTCGAATATGATGATGAGGTAAGCGTGTTGAGTTGAAAGTATAATAAATGCACGGGGTGGTGGGTGGAAACAGATGAAAGGGGAGGCAAAATTCACAAATAGTTCAGTGCCAGGTACCCGTACCCATCTCGGATTGATGACCTCCAACTTTCCAAGTTTGTAGCATTATGAGTGTCCAAATCAGAACAAAAACAAAAAAGGCCGCGCCTACAAAAACATGAACCCAGTTTGACCAAGTTGGAAGGCGTTCAAACCAGACACACAACGCCACCAACAACACCTACCACTTGGCGCTCGCTCTCGCCCTTGTGCGCTTATCCCCACAACACAAAGCCCCACACCCACCAACGCGCGACACCTTCGCTCCTCTCAATTTAATGTCGTGCTTTTGTGTGTCCTTGCCATTTCTTTTGTTCAACTCCAGGATATATAATAATTCTCATCGCGATATCGTTATTGACTAAGCACGAATACACACGTCCACGTTATTTTAGGGTACAACATAATTATCGGCTTATCTTCAACAATCTTCTCTATTTACATAAGAGAAAAACTCGTAATGTTGCGCACCATGTCTCATGGTCATAAAATGTCACAAAACATCTAATTCTTCCACTTTAATGATACGACAGTTAAAATTAGGGCACCTCCATTAATAAAATATAAGAAATTGTTACCATTAGATCCTACCATGACTTTTTGCATGTTGTTTAGGGGACCAAAAATATAGGATGTTTTTGTCCAATTTACTTTTGTCTTTTGTAAATTGAAGTCAAAAAGCCCTCGCTACCTTGTCAGGGCATTGAGAGAAAAAGAAACAAGAGACAAAATTTACCATCATAACCCTCCCTTACTAGTTCATTCTAATTTCAACAATTTGATAAGTTATTAATTAAAACATATATTTTTATTAACAGATAATAAATTTAAATATTTACTCTCTCACACCTTCTTAAACTAATAAAATAATATTAAATTTTTTAAAAAAAAAATCATAATTATGGATTATTGTTTAGTCTTTAGCTTAGCCTTCATAATTTCCTTTACAAATCTTTTTAGAAAAGAAAAAAAGAAAGGTGTGGGATCCATTGCACGTGCGGGTGCTGAGAATTAAAGTCAAAATTAAATAGTAAAAAATCAATCAAAGAAAAAGGTGACTATATTTGGCCATGAAAACATCCTTTTATCGCCATCATAAATAGAAATATAATTTATATAAAAAGAATAAATAAATAATAATAAAGTAATTAAAAAAAAAAAAAAAAAAAAAA